CTTCCAGCTCATTTGCCTCAGTCACTTTATCTCGTTTCTGGACATGTGCAGATATGGTTGTCTGCTTCTGTTTTTTGGGCATCTTCAGGGGTTTTCTGTGGCCTTAATAATTAGATGGGTGTGTATTTTGGTATTTTTTATGCGTTCTGAATGCCTCCAGGTAGATGTGATCAGGAAATGGGCTTCCCTTTTCACTCTTCTTCCTGAGAAGTTTCATGATTCCACTGTTGGTCGTTTTGATGTAACTTAGGATTTAATTTTTGTTTGCTATTTCCTCTTTTGTCTGCTCGTCCCACTCCATAATCACCATTCAGGACGTTTTTCTAGCTGGAAACAGTTCAAGGCCGGCTGTGGCTGTCTGATTTTAATTGGAAACTGTCTCTTTAAATTTCGAGGAGATCTGTGCGCATGCGTAGTAGAACCCTCCGAGGGTGGGGTTGGGGTGCCCACTAGCTCAGGCACCCCTATAGTTACCAGAATGGAGGTGTACAGACAGCAAGGGACCAATGAACAGATATCAAAAGAAAAGAATGTCCACACCTTTATCTCAGCGGTTCTTCCAGGCTTCTGTCGCTGCTCCAATCCTTCTGCCATGTGGTCTCACCCAAGATGGCGGCTCCGGGAGCAGCCGAGCGTCCCGGACTAGAAAGCAATAGATACCTTGCTTCTGCCACAAATTCCCCCAGCTGTGAGCCTTCCAACCTTCTAAGTATTCCTTTGTATGTGGTTCAGAGATCTGGGACCATCCCCTGAGCTTGCTTGGTCGGGTATTCTGTGTTGTTAGTGGAGCTCTCTGCTACATTTTCACCCGATCCACCATCTTTTTTGTTCTCAAGATTCTTATATTTCAATAGTGAGTAATTGTTATCATGACTAATTGCGACTGTCATAATTGTAAAGGTAGAAGTTTTGTAACAAAAACGGGGGCAGTTAATCTTACAGTGCAGAAGCAAAGGACCCTAGGACCATCAAGGGAGAAGAGCACAAGGGGAATGCTAGACCTTATCCACAGAAGCAGGGACACCAGAGCTGGAGGCAGAGATGGGTCCATGGAGAGAGGGGAAGCAGCTGAATACTTGAGATTTGTGAAAAGAGTGAGTCTGAGAGCTGGTGGCCAGAGACAGACTAGCAGAAGGTACCCTTTGGTGGTGTAAATTATTATATATGCCTGAGTGTTTTTAAAAAAAAAAACACAAGGAGCTAAGTGAATAGAGAGAAATACTGTTATCTAATGGTACCGGAGCGGATTATAATCATTGTAGTGAAACAAGGTGTATGATTTGTTGAATGTAAAACTGATGATCCGCCCTGTAATCTTCAGTCAATTCACAATTAAAAAAAAAAAGAATTTTAACCTGAAAATAACAATAATATACTAAAAATAAACAAATGGTACTATACTGAAGATAAAAAACAAATTATATAGTTAAGTAAGGTTTAAAATAGAACATGTAGTCATTAATAAATGGCACCTAATGTTATCATTAGTGATTTTAGAACCTTAACTGGTGGTTGTGGAAGGATGTTTGGTATTTTACTTGCCTTACTTCTTAGAAAGGTGACACACAGAATTTTTCAGAAGTCTCCTGTGTTTCATAAGTATATATAGTTTCATTAAGTCTATAATCAAGTATGTAGTAGGTTTAGCAGTATTATTATTTAAATTGTAACTTAAGCTTTCCTATTATACTTGCAGCATTGTTGTGGTAGACTATTTTTTCATATCATCATATGCTTTAAACTTTTAAGGAACACAATTGGAGATAGGAGAGACATTTAATTTTTCCTATCTGAAGACAAGTTGTCAGGAATGAAAAATTGCATCTCTTTTTATATTTTCTAACGCTCAGATTATATCAATACAGAAAACATTCTGTTTGTTTCAAATTAAGTATTCTTTCTTTTCAAGCCTCGTTGGGGAAATTTTTGTATGTTTCTTTAATAGAACTATGATATTTATTATAGTTACATTGGCCAGCACATTTTTTTTCTGTTTATCTCACATCTACTACCTGCTTCAATTCAATAAAGGTAAATTCAGTTGGAGACTGTTAACATTTTAGAAGAAAGAATCTATTAATTCATAATTCAGTGTTATGATTATTGTTTGGTATGTTCTTTCTAGCTTATTTACGAAATGTAGTTTTTAGTGGGAGTACTCAGTAGTGAGATGCAAATAAATTAGCCAAGATTCTTGAATGTGTGTTGTCATCTGTTTTTAAAGTATAGTTGTGAAAGGATTTAGATTTTACTTGCAGTTAATATTTTTATTCTTTTTCAAATAGCTAATTAGATGAAACTAAATAGATTCAGTTTTTATATTACAGGAGATTACCTGGGGCAATCGATGTTATTGGTCAGACCATAACTATCAGCAGAGTAGAAGGAAGACGACGGGCAAATGAAAACAGCAACATACAGGTTTAGTATTCCAGAGTCAATGACCATTTGTAACTGGAAGTTTATACCCATGTTCTAACTTAATTTTCTCAATAGATATGCTATAGGTGCTAACAAAGATATGTAAATGTGCACCAAGTCACCCTTATAGTTAGTATAAACATTTTCCTGTTATAATTTATAATTGAATATTAGTAAGTGTTGTTGTTCCTCTCCTCCCCTATTGTAACCTAAATTCTATGGGTTCATTAAAAAAGGAAAATAAAAGTTTAAGAAGACAATAAATCACCAATAAGCCTTCCACCTGAAGATAACCTTCTTAAAATTATGTTCCATCTCTTCCTTATCACTAAGCATTATATTATGATTACACTTTTGGTTGAGCTTTTTCACCTAAAAATTGTCATTTGCATTTTCCCATATTCTTAAAAAATATGATTTAAAACCTTTCCATGATAGCCGCATTATATTGTTGTTAAATGCTGTTGAGTCAGTTCCAACTTATAGCAACCATGTTGTATAGGGTTTCCAAAGCTTTTAAAATCTTTCTGGGAGCAGAAATCATGATCTTTTCCCCTCGGAGTGGCTGATGGTCTTAAACTGTTGACCCTGTGATTTGCAGTCCTGTGCTTATACTGTGAAGCCATGGTGCTTTGCTATATTGTGTAGATATGTCAGAATGTCGTATATCTGAGAGAAGACATTTCCTATTGTTGTAAAAATGTAAAAAGATGAGTATGAGTCATTGGAAAATTCTAGTTAAAACTTAAGTAACAGACTTTCTATGATCAAGTTATATCTTAAGTGACACTTTTTCATATACTTTTTTTCTGAGTACTTTAAAAAACATCAAATGCTTTGATTCTTTCTACCTTAAATTACATATAAAATATTTAAAACTACAAATTATTTCGAAAATGTAATATATTAGTCTTTGTTTTCTCTCTCCAACCACTAAAATGCCATGATTTCCTAAAATACTTCTCTGTTCCTTACCCTAAGAAGTACATATTAGTAGAAGCATTATTTAAAATTGTTATAGTTAAATGTAGGAAAAGTTAATTTAAGGGTGGGGTGGGGTGAGTATGTGTTTAAATGCTGTGTTTTAGTTAGGATGGGAAAAGTATAGACTAAATTCACAACCGGACTATTTCTGCACATCACAGTCACTGTGGGAGACATCCAAAGTTAGATGTCATTCACCTTCATGTTGTGTCACAGTGGGTTTGGAGGGCTTAACCTGCCTGACTCTTTTCCTGTTGACAAAAACAAGCATTATAACACATAGTGCTCTAATTTAGTTTTCCAAGTTATGTTTGTTAAGTGCCATTGAGTGTGTTCTGACCCGTAGCAACTCTGTAAATGGTTTCCGAGGAGCTGCTGGTAGGTTTGAATTGCCGACTTCGTAGGTAATCAGTCTGCTGCTTATCCTACAGTGCCATAGCAGGTCAAGTTTTTTAAAAGTATAAACCCTTACTTTAAAGTTACAAGGTTCACAGTAAAAAATTATTTATGTATTTGTTGTTACTTGCAAAGTTCATAGTCCCTTACTTTGCAACCTAAGGATGAAAGCCTTGTTCAGTGACTGTCTGACTCTTCTGCCAGGCTAATTGCTTAATGCTAGTTATCTTTGGCTAATGCTTCCATTGTCTTGAGTATTTTTGTCAGGTAAAATTGATAGCTTTCATTATATTTATAAAATAGGTGTTTGTGAGTTAAGAGTTTTGTGGTAAATCAGTTCCTTCTAGACTTTGAATATAGACATTGAAAATGTGTATACACACATATCAACACACACAAATATTATCCCTTCAAATAAATATACTTATTCCTGGTGTGGTTCTGTGGGTTAATTAGGTGGCCTGCAAAGTCTGTTTGAAACGCAAGGTCTGCGATTCAGGCTCACCAGTCACGCCTCAGAAACACCGTACAGGGTTGCTGTGGGTCGGCACTTAACAACAATAACAAATAAATATATGTATGTTAATAAAGATACCTTTAATATTTTTTTTGATCAAGCAAAATGAGTTTACTGATTTAATGTTAGACAGATGTACTCATTTTTATAATGAACTTGTGCTCTAATTTTAGGTTCTTTCTGAAAGATCAGCTACTGAAGTAGACAGCAATTTTAGCAAACCACCTCCGTTTTTCCCTCCAGGAGCTCCTCCCACCCACCTTCCACCGCCTCCATTTCTTCCACCTCCTCCAACTGTCAGCACTGCTCCACCTCTGATTCCACCACCAGGTAAATAGTGAATTAGACACTTGGTTTCTGAAAGAACAGATTAACTTGAGAGTTACCTTTGTTTTGAATTTAATAATTTAAAAATACTTGACAATTAAATATTGCATTGTATTTAAAGTAATAGATAAATATTTGTTTACTCCTCAACAGATTCACTTTGAAATGGATATAAAATGTAAAGACAAGAATTCCACAAAAAACCCTAGCAAAAGTTAGTAGTAACATATGTATAAATCAACAGTGGTTTTTAAATCATATAGAAAACAGAAAATTCATACCAATTTTCACTACAGTTTTAGCTGTCTTTCGAGTAAGTCATGAAAAAGTAGGTCAGTCATAATAGAGAACAAAACTCAAAATCTCAGAATTGCATCTTTACTTAGACTGTCAACCTTTCATTGATTGACCTTTCTTATTATTTTATTCCCAACGAGCTTTTAGTCTTTATATCTTTTTAACAAATTTTTTATGAAACTAATAAGATTGGTTGAGATTGTAATTGCTCCCTAGGAAAAATGCTATTAGTGAATGGTAATATGATTATGTGCTGTGTTGGTGTTTAAAAAATTAGCTGCTATTCCTAATCAGTACTGTGTGTGGGACACATTTAAGAAAACTGTTTTATAAAATTTACTTACACTAAATAGCTGTGTACTCTCACTCATTGTGCATTTGCAAGAGAGCTGTCTCCTTCTTAAGGTACCTGTTGTGATCAGAGAGTAACATCAATGTTCCTTTAAGGTATTCATTTTCAGCCCTTAGATGTCACATATGACCTTTTCATATCCACAGTATCTTTGATTCTCTTTCGCTGTAACCCCTCACCTCAAAAAAGACTTTCTGAAATGATTACAAATGGGCTTTTAGAGGATCTGCTGTCTCAAATATAGTAGAAAGCAGGAAATAGGTTAGAAGTGTTCACTCCAAACAACATTATTTCTAAGGTTCGATTTCTTGTTCATTAAGTTGGGAATGAGGTCATGATTCTTGCTTCTTTAATATGCAGAGAATAAACTAAATGAAAGGGGAAAGTCAAGAGTTCATTTATAAATGAATCCCTTGTTTTCCAGAAAGGAGTTTGAGGCAATATAGAAATAGTTCTTTGTCTTCTGCGTATTTGATTAATGAGACTAAAAGAGGAGAGGTGTGAACTAAATTTATGAAAAAGCAAAATAGTAATTGGGCTGGATTGCTTTGAAATCTTATTTAAAGTTTACTAGGTACATGATTTGAAAGAACTTTACTATTTACTAACATATCTCCAAATGGCTAACATTTGATTGATATATGTTCAAATTAGCTATCTCTTAAAATTAAATGGGTATGAATTGTTGATTGAAAAAAAATATATTACATTAGTATAAAAATATTCAGAAGCTCTTCAGGTTGTTGTGGATATTAACTGGAAATTTACCTGTTTCAGAAGAGAACAATTACTCCATTTCTTTGCCATATAACCTTTGTTCATAAGGATAATCATTTAGTTGTCTTTAGATTATGAATAGCATTATCCTGTAGCGTATCACTGATGTTACTTAATGTTTTTCTACTGAAAAGTTAATTGTCAGCTACATGTTTTCATATTTTAAATATGTGCCTGTCCAGATACTCTTTTAATACTTACTCTTGTATTAACATTTGCATGTTGTCTTATGTATATTTAAGGAAGCTAGATTAATTCTAATGCGGGTTTATGCAGTTCCTAACTCTGGAATATTTGCTAGGGCAGGGGGAGGGATATCACTTCATACTAAAACCAATTATTTTTATATGAGGCTATATGAATTACTTATCTCTACTAGATTATAAACTCTTGGAGAGAGTATGGATTATGCATTTTCCTCTGTGTTTCTCTTTAGTGCTGGTCACACTTGTATTTGTATACTTTACATTTCCTACATATACCATATTCCCTTATATGACATTCTTTATAGTGCTAGTTTTGCATATACTTGACTTTTTCTATATGTGCTGCTAATTGAGTTAACAGGTTTATGTACCCATTAAAACAGAGATGATTTTCAGATTGACAGTTTGGTACAGGCACTTACCAATCAGAATGAGCACTGGCTCTAAACAGTAGATATATGCCCGCCGAATGCTTTCCCTGCTTACTGCCACATTTTCAGTTACCATTTACTATAGAACCACGTGATTACAGTAGGTTCTATATATTTAGCTGTAATTTATATTACTTTAAGATTCATAAGCAGCTAATGAGAGAAAGATGTGGCTAAGGAGTTTTGTAAGTATTGCCTTAGAAAACACTCCATTTTTCTTAGAGAAACTTTGGACTTTTATTTTTTCTTTGTGATACACTAAAAGGAAACAAACATATTTTGAGAATGGATTTAAATGTATTTACATATTGCTTTTGTTAACATTATCTCTCTAATACATTAAGGTTTTGGTTTTCTTTTTTAATTTTTATTGTGAATTATGTGATAGTTACCATGGGAGAACATTAGCTTACCATTCATTCTATCTTATTTTGTTTTATTTCAATGATTACAGTTCCCTGCATGCATCATCAAACATCCGTTAAGCATGCCCCCTGGCTGTCAATGCATAAGTTTTAACAATATAGTCCAATTTATGATAGGACAAACACAGTAATGATGTATTATGCCTGTACATCGGGTTGCTACCGATTCCTTCATACTTGGGAAGACCATATCCAGATTTGCCAGGAACAAGTCTTTAGTTCCAGCGTACTTGTTAAAAGTGTCTCCTTTTACTTTGGAAAATATAATTTATGGTCAACTATTGTTATGTGTTCATAGACAAGGTTGCATAAGTTAGTAGTTAGTTACTCTTTAACAAGAATGAGGTGAGATACAGCTCTCATCCAGGAGATTTTTTTCTGTTGAATATTGACAGAATAAAAGATTTATTGCCTCCTCTCCTTTTCAAACACATCTGCTACAAAATATATGAAATCTTGTTAATAATAACAGTGGTTGGTAGTTGTATGCCATGGAATTGTTTCTGACTCAACAACCCTGTACAGGGTTTCCGAGGCTGTAAATCTTTACGGGAACAGAAAGCCACCACACTACCAGAGCTCCTTTATTAATACTAGCAGGGCAAAAGTAGATTTATATGAAGAGTAGATTGTGAGTTTCAATGTACAGCAAAGATAGATCCTAAATTACTGTTTTGACTATTGAAGTAGCTTTTTTAAATGAGAAAATAATGTGGTTTATTGTGGCCAAACTGTGATAGTAGTTGAAAGTAAATACTGGCTAATCGAGGTCTTTTACCATTTTAAAAAAGTTTGGTTTCTTTTATATTCTTTTCAGGACTATGTTAATGGTTTTATGCTTTTACTAAGCAATAATAAAAATCACATCTAATAGTTAAGCTGGATGTTTACTATGTGCAAGGCACTATTATGAATGCATTCCATGTATTTACTCATTTGAATCTTAAACATCATCTGAAGTAGATAATATTACTCTTAGTTTACAGATGAAGAAACTGGGTTTTAAAAACTTGAAACAATAGCTAGAAAGTAGCAGAAGCAAGATTCTAATCTAGGCACGCTAGACTCCAAAACCCATTTCCTCATTTATTTCACTGGAGTGGATCATTATCTCTATCAAGAAATGGATGCTATTAGATAGTGGGTTGTTTTTCCAGTAACATGTCTTAAAACCATTTTGTCTTCTCATTATTTCCCTACTATTGCATATATATTTGTGAAAAGGAGTTGTAAAGTACAGTTGAGGTATTAATTGTTCATAAGCTTTATGTTAAAAGAATTGTGTTTAACAAAATGAACCGCCTTTGAAATAATTTTTGCTTATTGGAAGAAAAATTATAAAATTGGAAGGATGTTATAGGTTAGATAATTTTGTTTGTGTTTAAATAAATACACTTAATTGTGAAGGAGCTTTATTTTTTAACTGTTCATACTAGCTATATTGGGTTGTGTGATAGGCCTTTAGGCTTTTAAAGGTTACCTTAATTTACTTTAGGGATACTTTTAAAAACTTCATTAAAAAAAAAAAATTGTTATTGAAGGAGAGACAGTAAGTTCCATTTAATTTATCCCTTGTGACATTAACTCATATAAGATTTTAAATTTTGGAATGTAGTAGTTTCATTCTTAAAGACTATTGTTAGGCACATCCGTGTCTTGTTTGGCAGATGTTAAGTTCCGTTGAATCGGTTCCGACCCATAGTGACCCTGTGTAGGGTTTCCGAGGAGCAGCTGGGTGAGCTTGAATCGCCGACCTTGCAGTTCAAACTAACTTTGCAGTCCAGTGCATTAACCCACAGCACCACACCAGGTCTCCTTGCTTGTCAGATAGTACTACTAATTTTATGAACTTAACAATCTTGTTCAGTCTTCATATATTTTGTTGTTGTTGTTGCTAAGTGCCATCGAGTTGGGATCCGACTCATAGCGACCCTGTACAAGGTTTCCAGGGAGCACTTAGTGAGTTGGAACTGCCAGCCTTGACAGCCTAAACCGATATTGCAGTTTACCACATTAACTGGCAGCGCCACAGCAGAAGTCCTTTAGCATAGCAGCTGTTAAATTTTGTGGTCATGGGACTCCTTTATACTTGTAAAAATTATTGTGAACTCCAAAGAGCTTTTATGCACACATACACACATAAAGAAATTAGTTATTAATTTAAAAAAAGATAATCATAATATACTCCTTGTATTTTACCAGAATAAGCAAACTTATATTCAGAAAAGCACCCTTGTTTTACAAATTTTTTTACTACATGGCTTCATAGAAAAACAGTTGGATTTTCATATTTGAGTCTGCAGTAAATATTATCATATGTTGTTTAGCTTCTGGAGAAATAGATTGCACCTTTGTTAGAAAATAAGATTTCAAGACAATTAGCATATAATTTTTTTGTGTTTTCTTAGCATATGATGTTTTTTATAAAACTGATCACCTTGTGATGGTGGTGGTAGTGTGCCATGCAGTTGCTTCTGACTCATAGCAACCCTGCACAGGGTCTTCAAGGCTGCAG